AAATTTACCAGCTATTTTTTTCAAAATTTTATATTTGAAATTTTAAAGTGTCCCAAACATAAAAGACAGAAAATGAATTTTAAAGTGTCCCGAATATAATTATGGATTTTAAATTTTTGAAATTTAAACTTTTATTTATGATACATTTTCCTTTTTTAAGAGCTTTTAAAATAAAAAAGGTACATTTTCCTCTTCTAAGAGCCTTTAAAATAAAAAATAGAGGCTAGTTTTAGAAAAAAATTATGCTTTAAAAATAGTTTATAATCAATTTCTAAAATTTTGACAATAACCTTGTATACGCTTACATATCCAATAGTTTGGCATAATTCTTTAGGATGTAAAACTAATGTCATTTAAGTTGCCCGAAACAGGAGATAAGGACACTAAAATTGTACTATAGTTTTCCTTTGTTCTATGTTTTTTATTTTTTCTCTTTTCTTTTTGTGTTTTTCATCTAACTCTGCTTACATTTTGCATTAAAAATGAATCATTGATTTATTTTATTATTCTTCTGACTTCTTTTTATATTTATACTACAACATATGTAAGTCCACTAGCAAGTCGTTAAGAGATGGTATTAATCATAGGATTTCAATCCATAATCTGCTTTAAAGAGGGAAAATAATCTACTACTCTGCTCAATGGGACAATGTAACCATGTTTGAAAAGTATACTATTCATATATGTCAAAACAAGTACAATTTCAACAACCAAAAAACTCAATTAAAATTTGAATTTCTTGTACTTTTTTCTTAATTTTGACCTTTCTTTTTTTTTTGGTAATTTTATGTTCTTTAATTATATTCAAACATTTCATAAAATTACTTGTCATTTAGAAGCAATATAGGTTGTGTGGTTTGAAAATTTAGAATTCACAAGTTGCTAAGGAGAGGACTAACTTCCTAACACTCTTAGTCTACATGAATTTCAAAATCATTTCATTCGTATATCTAGTGCTATTATCTTTAAAAAATGCAAATCTACGAAACTTATTTTACAGAATTTTTTTGAATCAGTGTGTATATGTTTGTGTGAGCCTACAAGCCAACAAATGGCATATTGCTCTATGAAGTCATTCTTATTTCACAGTTTTAATTTTTAGTATTCTATATTTTTTAAAGGAAAAATTACATACATATTTATTATAGTTTCTGTTATTACAGCTCTACCTAATAGTTTCTGTTATTACCATCTTACCTTATTCAACAACTGAATTCAAATTATTTTTCGTTGTTAAACAGAATCAATTTCGGTTATTTAATAATAAAAAATTTTAAATTTTCTTCCTCAAGAACCAAATTTTTTTCTCTCTTGTGGGTCTGCATATCCTCTCTCTACCTCTCTCTCCATTAGATGAGTAAAAACGGTTTTTTTTTTTTTAACTCTCTCTCTCCCCTTCACCAAAGGTCTTTTTCGGATAAGTTCATAATCCCTAGATTTCTCCTAAATATAGGGGTACAAACTCGTTGAGATAACCATGAATTCAAAGAGATATAGAGAATACGCTATAAGATTTCTCTTAATCTTCTAATTTCATAATCCCTACGATTTCTTCTAAATTTAGGAGCTCAAGATTTCTCCTAATCTTCTAATCTCATAATCCCTAACATTTTTCCTAAATTTAGGGGCTCAAACTAGTTGCTCCCATTTGATTTTATGGGATAACTATGGCTTTAGAGATGTAGAGAAAATACGCCACAATAGAGAGAAAACATTTTTCTCTTCTTCAAGAAGGGAAGTTGGTGCATTTTTTGAAAAAAAGTAAAGTCATATTTTTTAAAAATTTTCGATCTCATAATCCCTAACATTTTTCTTAAATTTAGGGGCTCAAACTAGTTGTTCCCTTTTGATTTTATGGGATAACTATGGCTTTAGAGATGTAGAGAAAATACGCCACAATAGAGAGAAAACATTTTTCTCTTCTTCAAGAAGAGAAGTTGGTGCATTTTTCGAAAAAAAGTAAAGTCATATTTTTTAAAAATTTTCATTTGGAAACTATGTATGCAATTTTTCCTTTTTTAAAAGGATAAAAGGTTTATGTATGCATAAACATTTGCTTCTCCCAAGGCATCACACATACATCTTAAAGATAAATGTGGAGTTGTGGTCTCTCTAAAGAAAGGCAAAGATCTGCTTACTGGGCTGATAGCTCATTCTATTTTTAATTTGTATATTTTTCTTCAAAAATTAGTTTGTAATTGTTTTAACACACTCATGATCGCCATATTAGAACAATTATATATAACTAAGACATTAAGTCCAAAATCCATCACAAAATGGATTGCGAATAGGGGATGCATATTGAGTCCTAGGACTCATAAAAACCAGATTTGCTTTTAAAAGGACAATGTCATTTCCCTTTAAAAAAAAAACAACAGAACAATGTCATTTCTAAACAATGTCAATCTATAGTTGAAGTCTAACTTGATGGCATTGATTTAGACTAGTAGTTGAAGTCTAACTTGATGGCATTGATTTAGACTAGTAGTTGAAGTCTAACTTGATGGCATTGATTTAAACCAGTGATTAAAAAACGCCGGGTTGGCATAGAATCGCCAAGTTCGATCCAGAAATCGGTCACCCCGTGTCGGTTCTGTAAATATATAGAAAATCGCTTGGGTCTAGAAGAACACTGGCGATTTGCTACAGTAAAATAACGTTTCAATACAGTAAAAACACCAAATCACCGATTTGGACCAGTTCACTATTTTTGCACATGTTTTTTCACGAATCCGGACTAGTTTTTGTAATGTCAGATCCTAGTCACCGATCCATTTTTTAAAGAGTGCGGTTTGTATAGTGCCGAGGCTCTAAACAATCAAATTTGAGCCCACCGTCAAGAAATATGATTTTAATATTGGAAATTTTTGTAATAGCCTTAAAATGTATTTTCATCTTTAATTATAAAATTTAAAAAATTGACGGTCAAAAAATACGTTACAAGATGCACTATTTCCAAAACTTGACATCTATTTTTTTCTCATGTCCATGCATCTTGATGTCGAGATGATCAATTTGATGATAATTGGGCATCAAAACAACCTCTTCTATTGAAATTTTTGAGGTAGGCTCTACTTTGATTGTTTAGAGCCTAGGCTCTATATAAACTTTTCCCCTTTTTAAATCAATGATTTAAACTAAATACATTTGACTAAAGTGAAACTCAATTTATTAGTTGAGCATATTACCTTGGACGCGGCGAACCCAAAGGCTGTGTCCACACACATGAGGAAGTTCACTTTGGTGATATGCACACCTCCCTCCATGAGCCCCACCAGTGTGTCGGCGCCTTCTTCGAACACCTCATGGTTTCGAGCACTCAATGAGAGCAGTGATAGTGCACTACGCCAACCTACATGAGTATGTATACTCTCAGCATTTTGTATCAATATCCTACTAACCATCCTGACAAATGGCTCACATCCTGTTTCTAATATCTTCCCAGCATCTAGCTTCCATGTAAACTGTATCGATCTAAATATTAACTCTTCGGCAAGTTTCTCTGGTCGTTGAGCCATTATTCTTCGGCATATACGAAGAAGACCTAATAGTGTCTTCTCTACGAAGCAGTTGAAGGAAATTGCTGAGAAATGGGAGATTAGGATGAGAGACTCGTAAACACCGGGCCAAAAGTAAGCGAACCGGTCTGTGTTCTTAATGGTGATACCTACTAGGAGCTCAATGCATAGGGACACTGCATCTTCCTCCTCGCTTAGGGTGCTACTATACTTTTGGGCTCGACCAGCTGCTATTACTAGGGCTTTGGCCAAGTTCTCTAGGGAGTCTATGTTGAGAGATCCACTTCTTGTGAAGATGGTGTCTATGCTGCATTGTTGGATAACCTGGTGAAAATTTCAAACATTGAAACTATGAAACCTTATTAAGGAAGCCAAGATTACATATCATTTACATGCAACATATCATAGTAGAATTTGTTTTGATGGTTTGTATTAGTGGCTACTCATGTGCATACATGACACATTCATCAACACAATGAAAAGCATATTGTATGTGAAGCTTTTACATAATAAAGGCTTGTTAAAGCCAAGATTCTTCGTATTTATTTGAAAGGGAAAATATCTCCATATCCCTTTTTAGGTTTCATGATAAACCCAAGGTTTCAAAAGATATCTTTTAACTACATGGCCACTTTAAACCTACTTTTTAACTTAAACAAATCTGAGAAAGACATGCTATTTCTAAACCCAATCATTTCTCTCTCTTCACTTATGTCTCAAACTTCTCTATTTCTCTCTCTTCCTATGTCTCTGTCTCACTCTCTCACTCTCCTCCTGTGTTTTCCAAACACTTTTTTCTCTCTTGCCAATAACCTCTCACCTCCATGAAGCCCTTCTCTCTCTAGAAGTTTGAGATGTCTTTTTAGATTTGTTTGGCCTAAAAAAACAAGTTTAAATTGGCTCAGACGGTTAAAAGAAATAAAATGTACGAGTTTTATGCCCCAACATATCTTTTAAAACCGTGCATCTATTGTAAAATGAAACCTAAAAATAGAGGGATATGGAGATGTTTTCCCTATTTGAAATAGTTGAATTACTCATTTATTAAGAAAATGAAGCTAGAATAAATATGGATGTGTTTCCTTTTATGCGTAGGTTGAAAAAATGGGGCATAGAGACAATGATCTTGTCTAGAAATAGGTATGTGTTTCGTGAGAATACATACATGTACACATGCATGCATATGTATGCATGTACGTGTATACATATAAAACGAATGTATGCATTTACACATGTATATGCATGTATACTTTCATCTCACCATGTGCGCCAAACTTTTCGCTTTCAATATCTTATGAAATTTGTTCTTACTATCACTAACATGATATGGTATGGAGGAATGGGCTCAAGGCATAGATGGTCAGGGTGGAGTGTACCATAATATGATGCCTTGAATTCCATTCTTACTACAGGAAATGGACCTTTTCCCACTTAACTACCCAAAAGAAAACATGATTAGTATGTGTTCTGTCCTATTTTTTTGTCAAAGTCGGTTTAGATCAAATTACACTACAAGGAATACCTGTAGGTTCCTCTCAAATTCATTGCCTACTTGAGATGTCCTCATGTCCTCGGCACATGTGTCAAGTGATAGGAACTGCGTGAACCTCCCCATCAAACCAGAGTTGCGCCTTGATAACACATGATGCAAGTGAGAAGGGAAAATGACCCCTGCTTCTGATTTTCCAAAATTTGCAGCTGAATTTCCTTGTGTTCCTTCATTCTCACCTTCTTCATCCTCGTCATTGTGGTTATCCACTATGGACTGAGGCAAAAGCTTTAACTTATTCAATTTCAACAAACATTCAACTATGTTTCGCCACCCACTTCTAATGGAATTACCATATTGATTTGCTATTGCAAACACTGTTATGACAGCGACTCGGGGCTTTGGGTCATCGGCAAATGCATATATTGTATCTTCTACTGATGTGTAGGGGCTGAGTAATGTTGTAAACTTACATAGAGATGTTAATAACTCATCTAATGCATCTTCTAATCTATAATTTGCCATCTTAGCAATGGCTGAGAAACCCTCAATACAAATGCGAATGATTTCCTCATCATCTGCATGCTCAAAAGATGCTGAAATTGCAGCAATTGAGGGGCCTGAAATTGCAGCAAACATTTCGCGACCGAGTTGTGGTCCACCTTTCCAAATGGCGTATGGCTCCATTTTACTAATTGATGTCTTGGTTAGTGTAGTCCATTTGCTAGGTACTTTTTCTGGAGACACGTGATCATTTGTAGAGGAGAGGGTTATCTCATTGTTGCCTATAGAATGATAAAGCTCGGATAGGTATTCTCGAGGAAGATCATTTCCGGCGTTTATGCACCGATTATTGCGAATGAATTCTTCCTCAGTCATCTTCTTCTTCACCTGCCATAGTAACGCAAGAACTTTTCAATAATTATTTAGGAGGTTAAAATTTTGGAACTTACTCAAGTAAATGAATATGCACAACAATTGACAAAATTCAAGAAAAATAAATTGCCAATGGAGAACTTAAGGCCAAGAAATCTTTATAAAATCAGTGGTATTCCATATAAGATATTCCAATCAAAATATATTAGAGGTGAAATGGAATATGTGAGCTAGCTTGGTTAACATGAGGAAGAAAAATGGTTATTTAAAATACCCACATAGTATTGCAAATATTTGCTCATTATCCTAAAAATGAGGTATTATTGTCAATACCGATGCATTTTTCTCATTAATCACTCGAATAGAAAATAAAAATAGCAAGAGATGGCAAGGGAGGCCAAATCATTTTAGTAAGTGTTAATATTAGAAAACAATAATCCTTACAAAAATTAAAATACAATTCAAATAAATAAAAACAAACTAGGAGGTTTATCTCATCATCCAAGCCTTATCCCAGGGGTCGGCTATATAAAAACCAGGAGGTTTATCTATAAAATTTAAAAAGATCGGGTCTCCGGAAGAAGCAAAAATCTCAAGAATTAACAATACTAATATAAAATGAACTCAAGAAAACAACTTTTTAAGGGTTGAAGAAATCCAACTAAATGATAATCCAAGCACAAAGGAAATTATATATAAAAGCCTTATGAAAGGGTGGATGACTACCTGAGCATTATGTTGGTCTGTGTTGAGCATGATTAGTGAGTAGCATAGTACAAAAACTGCATCTTTGTCAGCAAACATTTCGGTCTCCTGATCACTATAGAACTTCTCAGCAAAGGCCTCCAAGATTCTTTGTATCTTCTGAGACTCTCCTGGTAATCGAAAAGTCTCTAAATATGTTCTCAATGCTATATCAAGAATCACGCTTGAAAAATCGAAAGTCGATGTCAATTCCTTTAAGACTTGTATATTGAACTCATCAGGATCTCCAAGAAAATCTCCAATTAGTGTCTTATCAAGACCCATTGTGTACCTCAAGAAGTGACCTACACTTTGAGGGTCTGGTTCCTCTGGTACTAAGTGATTAGCCCTAAGGAAATACATTCCTTTCTTTTGATCCCTATTAAAATGGTCTCCGGCAATGGCCAACTTCTTCTTAAACCACTTCCTTTCCCTTAGAAATTTCACCCACTTTTGGGAATCCTCATAATCGTCGCATTGAACTGTCCATAGAGTCTTGTAGGATGTAATTTCGACAGGAATATTATCTTCTTCATTGCTTTGTTCATCTAGAACACAATCCGTGATGTTTTGGATTATGACCACAAGGCCTTCCAGTGATTGCACTTGCAGACTAGTCATCGGAGAGTTAACCGGAAAAGCATGCTTGCAAAGCAAGTTCCCAATTTGCTCAAACACATTTTGACACATGGGATCACAATCAAAATTTGTATACATCTCCATTGCGAATTGGGGTAGCCTACAAAAGCTTATCAGACCTTCAATGGCTACTTCTTGTTGTTGTTGCTTTTGAAATGAGGGAGCAAACTTCACATTGGAGGCTATGATTCTTAGCAAAACATGCACAAAGAAGGCCTCAAGTTGGAGCTTCAAAGAGCAACGAAGGTGGTGGTATAGGTTTAAGACAGTGCTGCAGATTATAGAGAGAACTATAGGGGAGCTTCGTGGTCCGTAATGTATCAGATGGTGGAGAAGATCATCTTGCACTATCTTAAGGAGCCTTGGGTGCTTTCCAATTCCTTCACCACCCAATTCAATGGCTGAGTTTATTAGAATCAAAATAAAAAGTTGCATGTCTTCATCAAAACCTCCACCACTCATTTCTCCATCTGAAGAATCAACTAAGTTAAGGAGTGTGCATAGGAAATAGAATATATCTACCATGCATGCAATTCCATAGCCTGAAGAAGGATGGGAGGAAGAAGAGGAGTCTTCACACTGTGAATCAAGGTCTTCTCTATCATCGTCTGTGCCTTCGAGCTCAGGTAAACGCATGAAGATGACCTGTAAGCTGATTTTATGTAAGCTTTAAAACATGTGAATTGCAAATAGGGAAAGTATATAATGAAACCATTTATCTTTCATACAAGGTGGTCACAATTAATCTTGACCATTGGATGCGAAATTAGGTGGCTGCATTTATTTCATCAAGCTCAAAGTTCAAATAAATTTTCTCAAACTTTGTGACACACCCAAGCTATCAAATTTCACATTTGATGGTTATAAGTAAAAGTTTATATACAGCTTAGGCTCTTAACAATCAAATTAAAGCCTACCTCAAAAATTTCACTAAAAAAGGTTGTTTTGATGCCCAAATATCTTCGAGCATCTTGATTTCAAGATGCATGGACTTGAAAAAAAAATGGATTTCAAGTTTTGGAAATAGTGAATCCTGTAATGCATTTTTGGACCGTCAATTTCTAAGTTGTTCAAGTTTTCATAGATTTGCTCGATCTACACTATTTTTTAAGTTTTAAATTTTAAAATTAAAGATAAAAATAACTTTTAAAGCTAGATTTCTAGAATTGAAACCACATTTCTCGACACTATTCGAAGGTGGGTTCTAATTTGATTGTTTAGAGCCTCGGCTCTATACAAACCACACCTTAACAAAAGAGGAGAGCATATCATGGCCAAAAATTAACAAGGATATATCTAATGGCCAATAAGTAATTTCATATTTTATTTTTTATTTAAATAAAATTTGTAACTTAATTTTAGGGTATAGGATTATTTTTATAAAGAAAGCTGAATAAAAATGATTAAAAAATACTTTAAATAAAAATAACGAAAATTCCCCTAAATTTATTATGATCAACATTTTCTATTCAAAAGTTTTTGTTATCATTATTTAATTCTACTTATAAAATAAAGCTAAAACTTAAATTTCGTATTAATTCTATTTTTTAATAAAAATAAAAATAAAACCTCTTTTTGTCCTCGGATGAAGTTGGTTCAATCTTACGCATTACAAGGTGCCTTAAGTGTCCACAGTAAGTGGACACAATAAACGAACTCTAAAAAAATTTAGAATAAAAATAGTACCATAGAAATAAGATCCAAAGAGTTTTGGCAAAGGGAATGAATAAAAAAGGATAAAAATTAGAATAAAAATGAAAGGACATGGTCATGGAGGAAATAAATTCCAGAGTTGTAGCAGGTGTAATAAGGTGCGAATAAAAAAGGATATACCACATTTCCCGACACTATTTGAAGGTGGGGCAAAAATTAACAAGGCTATATCTAATGGCCAATAATTAATTTCATATTTTATTTTTTATTTAAATAAAATTATTTTTATAAAAAAAACTGAATAAAAATGTTTAAAAAATACTTTAAATAAAAATGACCAAAATTCCTCTAAAGTTATTATGATCAACATTTTCTATTCAAAAGTTTTGTTATCATTATTTAATTCTATTTATAAAAATAAAGCTAAAACTTAAATTTCATATTAATTCCATTTTTAAATAAAAAATAAAAATAAAAAGCAAACCACTTTTTGCCCCTCGGATGAAGTTGGTTCAATCTTAAGCATTAAAAGGTGCCTTAAGTGTCCACAGTATGTGGACACAATATACGAAATAAATTCCAAAGAGTTTTGGCAAAGGGTGTGAACAAAAAAAGATTAAAATTTGAATAAAACTGAAAGGACATGGCATGGAGGAAATAAATTCCAGAGTTGTAAGGATGAGGAAATAAATTCCAAAAAGTTTTGGCAAAGGGTGTGAATAAAAAATGATAAAAAATAGAATAAAATGAAAGGACATGACATGGGGGAAATAAATTCAATTCCAGATTTGGAAAGAATAAATAAAGGATATAAAAATAAATTCCAAAGAGTTTTGGAAAAAGGTGTGAATAAAAAAGGATAAAAATTAGAATTAAATTTAATTCCAACTCATAAAAATTAGAATTAAATTTAATTCCAGAGTTGGAAGAAATAAAGGATATAAAAAATAAATTTATTTACAGAGTTGGAAGGAATAATTTATAGAGTTGAAAGGAATAAATAATATAAAAAATTCGAGAGTTGGAAGGAATAAAGAATATAAAAAATTCGAGAGTTGGAAGGAATAAAGGATAAAAATTAGAATTAAATATATTTATAGAGTTGGAAGGAGTAAAGAATATAAAATATAAAAGGAATAAAGAATATAAAAAATTAGAATTAAATTTAATTCTAATTCATAAAAATTAGAATTAAATTTATTTACAGAGTGGGAAGAAATAAAGAATATAAAACATATAAAAAATTTTATGTAAAAGAGGCTCGAACTCTCGACCTCAGGATACCTACGCGCTAGCCAACTGCCCCACAACCCAATAGAGAACAATTTTATTAAAAGTTTAATCTCGACCATAACATAGGTGAAAAAAGATATTTTCCTATGTAGGTAACTTGAAAATCAGTTAGACTTCACTTTGAGATGATTGTCTTCAATTTTCTTTTCCTTTTTTGCGTATATGAATTATGGATTACTAAGTTCTTCTCCTCTAAAAATTTTCTCTCTTTTTTTAAATGCACAGCTTTATGATCAGGTTTGTTTTTTTATAGCACTGTTTGATTGCTCAAACTGGATCCGAAAACTGGCCAAGGGCCAGGTCGGTGTAACTCGGAGACTGGCCGGCTCACCCGACCTAACCAGTCAGGTCCCGGGCCTGAGCGGGTTAAAAAGTGTTAAAAAAATTAAAAACACAAAAAAATATTTAAACGATACCAGAAGTATATTTAAAACATAATTAAATAAAATACATCAAAATGTTGAAAAGTAGTAAAAAAATGGATTTTAAAAAATTAATTTATGCCCAAGACTATTTTAGAAATAATCCATTAAAGAAGGTATAAAAATAAATATTCAATGCCAAAGCGCATTCCAATTTTTTCCGAAGTCATAAAAAATCGAAAACACAATGCATACAAATCTCTTATTTTTTGAGATTTTAGATATATTTCTTGAAATTTTTTAAAATAATCGGCCAGACCACCTAAACCAGGCAAAACCAACGCGACCGCTGACCCGTTCCACATTACTCTGTCGATTCCAAGTTGGACCGGCCGATTTGTCGAATACTGTTTTATAACCTTGCTCGGATTTGAACCAATGCCATTGAGCGGCAGCCCAGGACTCCATAAAGCAAAGAGCCCTTGACACCCTCATTATTGAGCCAAAAGCCGGAGCCCATATTTGTCCTCCTTTCATAATCTAATCTGTGTATACAGAGAGACCTCATTTTAGAGAGAGAGGTTCATGTGGAAAGAGTGAAGAGGAACCTGGACGAGCTCGTGCATGGCGTGCCGGGCTTGTCGGTGCAGTAGGTCTCCACGCCCAGTTGCCTGTTGCACCACTTGGAAGCACGTGTTGAAAGCCACACACACTACCCGGTCGTCCAACAACGTTCCCGCCTTGCACCGCACACACGCCAACAACACCTGCTGTATCCGAACCAGGACTGCATCCTCCAACCCGGCGTCCGTGCGCTCAAGCCGGCAATTAGCAACGGCCTCCACCACCGCCTTCATTGCCTCGGCCGCCGTAGGCGTTCTTCCATCGAAGATCTCCATGCGTAACACCTTGTAAATAATTTCTCTCCTATTGTTACATGGGGCATATTCTGCACGCATAACGCATGCGAAATAAGATACACAACAGTGCATCCACCATCCATTTCGAGTAGAGACGAAGAAAATAAATTAACGTACAGACATAGAACGTGTATGTCTGCACATCCATTCATATCTGCCATCCATTTTTATTGGTATGGTGGATGCAATTTTTGTGTACGTATAGCACTCCCAGTAGTGACCGGTTCATGAAAGTTTTTTTACCTGAAAAAATTATTTCATTTGGTTAAGTGTGAGAATATTTTTACATCAATTAGTTGTCCATTCGTATGAAAATAAGCATTAAAATACAATTGGTATGAAAATATTCTGGAATTTTTTCACATGAAAATATTTTTTATAAATATTTCTACGCGAACCCAATGTGGCGTAGGTACTCATGGCATTTTGCTTTTTATAAACAAAAGATTAAAAATAAAAATAAATTTTTTTCGTGTACCCAGTATGATAAATATGTGCCATGGCAGCAATACAGGTTATGGCAGTCCAACCCATGGGATGGACCGTGATGGAAGAAGACTGCCATGCAAAAGTTAATTAACTACGTTTTTGCCTTCCCCCTGCGCTCATCATCATTCATTTTACAAGTGAAAGATGACGACCCTTATGACCGTATTGTTACCATAACTATAGGTATGATACTGTAAAAAATACATACCTTGAGCACAGCTGAGAGAGCAGTACCAGTGGCCGGTGCAGCGACATCATCGGCCTGGATGACATCAAGAAAAGGGGAGAGAAAGAGCGTGGGATCTACAAAGGCCCAATCATCATTGGGGGCGAAGAGGAATGAGCGAAGGGCCTTCAAAGATTGGATAAGGGGACTCTCTGGGGGCTCTTCGGTGGGAAGGAATTGAGGGGAGGCATGGTCCAGGGGCCGGCGCATAACCGCCAGGACCAAGCTTACTTCTGTGTTTATCATGCATGAGATGGCAAGCTCGCGCTCGGACCTACGTGCTGGCCTCTGGGACGCGGCGCAGCCCTTATCTTCGTCTTCCTTGGGCATTCTTAAAATTCCATGACCTTTGTTCTATCTGTTTCTTTCCCTCGGAACTTAGATTTGTCTTCGTCTCTGTTTTGGCTTGAAGTTTTTTTCAACGATGAATGAGAAAATATGAGATTGATTACATGAACTGAAAATGACACCTTTTGGTCCTGGTCGGATTCCTGCTTTTATGCCTTCTTATGAGAGTGAGCTGACGCGTTTCTTTGTCGGGTATTTTCGTTAACAGGGTACAATTAGCCATCCACGTCTAATACCAAAATGTGTTATATTTCTGTGGGACTATACTATCTATTTACACCTTCAGGTGAAGTCCTTTTACCCAAAAAAAAATTTCGGGTTTTAAATTGAGAAAGTTTTTTAATGTTTCTTTCCATAGAAGCTATATCCTCTCTTTACCATCCAGCCGTTGAGTTTTTATCAAGAGAGCCACTTATCGTTTGGTCTTAGATCCGACATCTCAGAGTATTTTATTTTTAGTTTTTTTAATACAAATTTTTCGAATATAAAATTTGATACGAACCATCTTCTCATTAGGGCGTATCTATAAAAAATATAAATAATAATTAAATAATAATAATAAAATTATCTTTTAAAATTATCAAAGATATTTTTGTTATTTTATTTTATCAAAAATAATTTTTTATATTTTTTATTAGTGCGACTTTAATAGAAGACTGGATTGTCAAGATTTGGTGTCAAAATAATTTATAAAACAAAAAATAAAAAATAAAATAATATGAAAACTTCACATTGTGATTAGGGCAATCGTAGACCTCCATAAAAAATGGACGGTTGGATAAAGGGAGGATAGAAAGGCCAATTTCCCCCTAAAATTTGGGGATGTAACCCCTGCGTCTTCTCTCTCTCCTATCTTGCTCTACCCATCCCCCTTCAATCTGTTTTATCTCCCTTTCTCTCTCTTCCCTTACTCCCCACTATCCATGTTCCCCTTTCCTTGCGTCTTTAAACACGGCATTCTGCAAAGCTTTTTGCAGTGGTTCTAACTTTGAGATGTGTCTGTTGCTCTTCCCCCAAAGTTAGGGGTGAGGCAAATTATTTCCTTTTCCTTTTATTTATTCATTATTAATTTTTTTTTTTTGCAATTTTCTATTTTTATGGTTTTTGAGCTTTTGCTTTTTTGTTTCTTGATTTCTGTTTTGTATTAGTTTAATTTGTAGATTCAGCTGGTTGAAGTGGCTTGATTGATGAAAATTCTCAACTAATGTGTCATGAAACGTCAAGAAAATTCTTTCCAAAAAATTAGGACCATTTATGATATATGGCTGTTGTTGTATTGAATGTATATGATTTACTTTTCATTTTCTCAGCATATAATTTTTTTTGGGGTAGATGATTCTAGATTTCATTAAGTTAATAATTAAAAAAAATAAAGTGCAAGGCTATACCTAAATCGTTAACAGGGAGAATTTATTTACATTTAAATAAGATTCATCCAATGTCCTCAAAAGCCTGAAACTTTGATGCTTTTTAGTGTCTCTCTGAGCCATACATCTTACCATGGCACTAATCTTCTTTATGTTATTGGATGATCATTAACCTCTTTTTAGTAGACAACATAACACTATTGCAGAATGTTACCTACAAGCAGAACCAGTGAATGAGTTGAACTGTTTTCCGATTGAATTCCTGGGTTTTGAGTCAAAATATTATTGGCAATTTGTTCTGCCTTTGTTTAGTTGGTTATCTACTATGTTCATTCTACCATAACTTGCTAATAAGTTGAGTAATTTTATCTGATATATACTTGATATTGACAAATGCATGGGTGACAACCAGTGGGGAAATATAATTGGTCGTTCCCTATGACAATGAAACAACATTTTGTTGTAAGTTCATTCAAGACTATTTTTACTTTCAAATCTATCTCTTTGACAAATATGTACATCGTCCTTCTATTTCCTTAAAGAGAGAGCCCCATGTAGCTATGATGTAAACCATTTTGATGTTTGTAAATGTCCATGTGTGTGCGTATTTTGATTGAGAGAGGGTGGGAGGAAAGGAGGATTTTTAAATGCTTGGCATTTTATTGATTAATAATCAGATGTGGGAGTGCAGGGCGAAGATTGTTGGTGAGGTTCTTGTATCCATCCATGTCCCATGGATGGGCCTAAAGAGAAACTCATATACTGGTGAACAGGTTGAGTCAACGGTGTGTCAATTGCAAGCAATTGTGTTCGAAATTTGAACATCACCATTGAGAGGCTTGATGCCATTCCAAGGAGTGATGTCAACAGGGCGTGCTTTGCCATATGTTTTCCTTTCCATTGCAGAGTAATTCTATGATTATGTCTGCAAGTCAGTGTTTTTGGACTCAGCTGAGTTACTCGGCCTCGGCCTCTGATCAATTCGAGTTTGCCTCAATTTATTAGTACACCTCCCTGGAAATAGGGAGGTGGCGCTCTCTCTCTAAGCAAGAAAATTCTGTTTCTTTCTCTCTCTAGCCGGGGCCTCTCTCTCTCTCTGAATTACACCACTGGAGCGGCGCCTCCTTTCTTTCTCGCTCTAAATCGCCCTGCTGGGCAAACTGCCTTTCTCTCTCTAAAAACAGGGCATCACCCTTTAGAGAGAGAGAGGGGAATTTTTTTGAGTGTTGAGTGCAGCAGAGGCTGAGATGTGTGGCCATGAACATCCCATCTCAAAGTTCTGAGTTCCTGCAGATATCCTCCACCACTACTGCATGCATCAACACCCTCAATCAAATATCAAAGCCCTCGCTTCAGGTCTCTCTCTCTCAAAATTTTGCCTTCTCCATTGCTTTCTATTCTTCCCCATTCTACACTATCGAATACCCTCTATATCTCATAGTCTTTAGGTGCGGGTGCGTTGCTGGGAGCGGGAGCTGGCTTGGGCCTGCAGAACCGTGGATTGCTGGAACTTCCTTGTGGTCAGGGTTGTCGTCAGTACCATCCTATATCAAGGGAGCACAATCCTTGTCACAGGGGAGCGCAATCATTCTCTCTCTTCCCCTCTCTCTTTATTCTTCCCCATTCTTCAGGCCTCAACAATGGCTCCATTTGAGGCCTCTTCAAAATTCCAGGGGCAAGAGACACGTCGCCAAAATTTGGCCCCAAGCTCTCCCCTCTGCTCACGTTCTCTACCCCCTCTCTCTCCTGGGCAGGTGGGGTTTTTTGCTTTTTATTTTTTGACCTTAATGCTTTTATGGTGATGTTGGCCGAGTTGGAGAGGACTCGGCTGAGTTACTTGGCTCCGGCCATGGGCAAGTACCTGGCCCAAGTCAAGTTAAAATAGCATTCCTCCAAGTACTGAATTTCTTCATGGTTTTCTTTCTGTAATGTGATTTGAAGTTTTAAACAATTCAATGAATTTTGGAGCATGTATGTTTGTTTATCACTATAGCATATAATCATGAACATATGGCCTGTTCCAAACAAAAATCTCTCCAGTGTCCTCTCCTCCCAGCTCCACATCTCCCTCCTGATTTCATGTCACATCTCTCTCTCTCTCTTTCTTTCCTCTTGTAAAATACTGGTTACTTTGAGTGCAAGCTAGGATTTAACAAAATAGGTATATGATCACAGTTTGGAGATTATCACAGTTTATTCTATTTCTTGGGGTAAGAAAATTGTTGTAATTTTCAATATGTCAGGAATTTGTTGGTCTTGTTACAAAGACAAGTAACGTGTTTTTGGCAATTTCATATGTAAATAAATGAGGCAGGACATAAATGAGTCAAAAAAAAAAAAATTCAAGTGTTTTTCTCTTTTTGTAATGCCATTACTTATGTAAGTAAATAAGATGAACTAGGTAAAGAGTTATACTTGTTTGCTCTGGCCATGAGTTTTGGTAGTTGTGTCAAACTGAGCTTTCAAACAATTATTTTTTGTTCAAACAATATCTGTTGTGCATGGTATTCAGAAGTAGCAGTATCACTACTTTGCAAGATTTATAAATTGGATTTAGTTTAGTTGCTTAATATCTTTTGATGGACTAGAAATCATGTTCTTGATGCTTCAAATTTCTGTTTCAATGTCATGATCATTTAATGTTACAGGAGATAGAAATATTATCTTATAACCTTTTCTTGCAAATGATGTCATGGAACTATGTTATTGTCCAGTGTTTAAAAAGTGCCCCATTTCAACTGAGACATGGGCAAGTTACTTGACTGGGGTGGCCTGCCGAGCCTGGAACAGATACCTAAAAGTACCCTGTAAAGTACTCAGGTAAGTACTTTACAAACTCAGATGCCTATTATGAAACTCGGGGTGATTTGTCCGAATTTCACAGTACTCGGCTGAGTCGCTATAATACTCCCCTGAGTATTGTATATTTTTAAGTTTAAAAAGAGGGCTGGAAATCCACCTTCTTTTTTTCTTGGTTTCTTCGATTTTGAGGTTTAGGTTTGCCATGTTTAGCTAGAATTCTGTCCTCAATAAGATCTTAGCATAATTTATCTATTAAAAAAATCGATTTGAGAAAATAAATCTGATCTGATTTTATTTTTTTAGATAAAAAAGAAGATAGACCAAGATTTTGATTGATTTTGAAAATTGCAATTTCTTCTCAGTAGATAGTCAATCTTTGAAATCCGATCCCCAATCCTATGTTTGTATTCTTGATCCAACCATAGGCTTCACTTTGAAGAAAAAAAAAAAAAAGAAGAAAAGACGAAGAAGTCAAGCTGGATTTGAGAGATTTGAAATTTGGAATTACTTTTCATCCAAATTTTTCAAGAGCTTGGATCTCTTAGATGAGAACTTGAAACTGAAAACTGATTTGCAGGTTTTGATTGGGGTTGTTTGAGGAAGCTTGACCAGGGCTTGAGGCATAATTTGCATCTAGCTTGAAGATCAGGGGATTTTCGAAGACACCTAGGTTTTCTTTTATTTTGTAATTTAAATTCAAAATTTTGATTTACTTTTTACTAAATCAAATTCAATTGTTCTGTAATTCATTTAAATATAGTTTTATGTCATTTATGATTTAAACTTAAGTACCCTTTTTGCAGATTTCCTGTTCTTCTCAAGCGAAACATCAATTTTATTCTCATTCCATGTTTCATATAGTTTTTTATTTTATACCTTTTATTTTTTTTTATTTTTTGTGACCTTTCTGAATTCTTCAATTTTTTACAACTTTTCCTTCATTTTACGTTTTTTACCCCTTTTTATGGCTAGGGCTTTACTTGAGTGAGTCCAAGTCCGCTCAGCCGAGTCACTCAGCTTGGGCAGGTGCCAAGTACATTGCCTGAGCAATGTTAGAATACTGTACTTGTCTATTTAGTTCTCATATGATAATTACTTATGTCATGCTTATGTTCTATCATTTGCATCTAGCATAACATCCAGATTCAACATCTGCATATTGTTTGGTTCATTTAACAGATCTTGCATGCTGTATTACATATTATATATACTGTTAATAAAATATATCTACTCGTGAAATGTTGCATAAATGTCTACAACCTGCTGTGTCTATTAGGTCTTTCAATTTTCGACTCAGGGCTCAGTGGTTGGCATGATTTTTAGGCAATTCTTTCTTTCTTGTTTTGAATGTATTAAGCAATTCTTATGATGTATTATAAGAAGCAAGGATCTTAGGAGCTAAATGATGAAGATAGGAAACATTGATGGGCTATTTTTACTTTTGGGAAACTGAAATTTCAATTAGGTGGTTAACCATTTTCTCAAAAAAAAAAAAATTCAATTAGGTGAATTAAATAAAGGTTAGTTATGAGTAAGCTACAAGCCCGTGTTGCAATTCTATATCAAATGGTTATTAGAAATAGGTTGGGGAAAGGCAGCGTTCTGGTAATTATAATTTATAAATCATCAAAACAATGAACAATGGGAACTTATTGAAAGAAGGCAACAGTTGGCTTTCTTTCTAGAAGAGTCCAACGATGTATCTCTCTCTGTAGAGTTTCCTTGAGTTAACATGGCCTTTGGACATGTGACACAGTTGTTACCACATAGCAATAGGCCTCGGCAGTGCAATGGTGGTGTAATGAAGCTATAAATAGTGGGCATTGGTTAGAGCTTAGGCAGTGTGGATCAAGTGATCGAGCAAGTGAGAGTGAGTGGTAGAGAGAGAGAGGGGGAGTGTAAGAGAAAGAAGAAAGAGTAAGAATGTTTTAGGTATTTGAGTGTAGAGTGGCTTGAGAAGTGGTGAGAATCCATTTACTGAAGAAAGAGTGAGAGTGTGTATTGTAGAGAAAGTGAAAGTGTAATGAATGAAGATGGAAATGGAATGAGTATGCCTTGTTGCATTGGGTCTTCGACCAGGAAAAGGGGAGTGGGGAGAATAGGGCCATGGGTCAGGTCAACATTTGCGAATTACGACAAGGAGCTAGAGCCTAAAAAAAGTGGGATGTGTGAATTTTTTGAGCTGGGATATAGAAAGTTGGCAGGCTATCTGCTGAAATAGCCCTTAGTGGATGGCTCGCGGTCTATTGGTTGTCCTAAATCCTAAACAAGGGGGCACCATTAATCATGATACCAAATACTATCTTTCTGAACTCTTCATCTATGAAGGAGTGTATGAAGAGATTTTCAAGGTGTATTGGTGTGGCCTTTTTTTTTTGTTGGAAAAGGTGGTGTACTGGTGTGACATTGACACACCATATCAGAAAGGACAATGATATAACATATAGTTAACAGATTTCCACCCTTAATTCTGGTGTAGAGTTCATATTGCATAAATACATGGGGCTATATGAAATATGAGGGTTGTGACTGTGTGAAACATCAAGAAAGTTAATACCAGTTCCACCACTAGCAGAGATGGTTGGATTGTCAAGAAAGTACCAACTTCACCATTATCAGAGACAGTTGGATAGCACTACCCTTGTATATCCAATTTGACTAAATGGACTGGCCAGCATATGAGCAAGTGTAAGTGGTTTCAGTTGATGACCCCGCGGCAATAAGAGGAACAAGTCATGCCACTAAAAATTATATTCTTCCTCATTCATGTATGTGTTTCTGTTTTTCTGTAATCTTGTATCAAGATGATGCATAGGATTTCACAATGGATGACTGTTAGTTATCAAAAATTGGAGGAAAAACGGTTGCTACTACGCACTAAAAATAGCGTAGGAATAACTTCCAAGTAATAATTTTCTATATACTCAAACTAAATAGAAAGAAGAAGAACAACCAAGATGAGGTGGAAGAAAAACATTCGTTAAAGAAAAACAATAACTACTAACTTACAACAATAAGTGCTAACCAACTAGTAGTTCAATAACTTCTCATTACACAAAATTACAAATTACAACCTCACTACATCATTCATTATAAAATAAAATAAAGATTAATATAATTTCTAGAAAATAGACTTTAACATCGTTAACACTCCTTCTTAAAGTGATTTTCTAGAGAGGAGATCATAACTGGCTCTTAAGTGTGATGTGATCATGTCTATCACTTCCTGAAATCGAAAATCTGGTCATTTGACAAGCCATCAAGGATATTCGCAAATTCCATCAAGGATGGCTGCATAGCCCACCTTTGAATAGAGGTAATATTGGGAATATACTCCCTCTTTAACCCATGAGTGATGTACCACTTCATTCGTGCCGCCGAAATAGGTTTTTTCAGGACAACATGAGATCTCCAAACAAAGATCCCTGAGTTGAGTTCCCAACTCAACACTTAAATCATTCAACCTTTCACCTGGATCCATCTTAGAAAAGACAACCGATCTTCTTCACCAAGGGAGTCAAGACACATCACCACCAACCTTGTGGCTCTAATACCATTTGGATAAAGACGGAAGCCACAATATCGGAACAATCCACTTCTCAATTAGTGTAAAAATATCACACTAGCCTGAGACTCACAACCAAATAGAAAGAAGAAGAACCAAGATGAAGTAGAAGAAAAACATTCATTAAAGAAAAACATGGGGTACACAAAGGCATTACAATCTCGACACCCAAGATTAACCTTGATACATGTGACCCAATTTTCCCACAATACACTATCTTTAAATAGAGGTTCTTACAACCATATTTACTACAATAACTCATCACTCACAACAATAACTACTAACTTACAACAATAAGCACTAACCAACTAGTAGTTCAATAACTTATTATTGCAGAAAATTACAAATTACAACCTCACTACATCACTCATAATAAAATAAAATAAAGATTAATATAATTTCTAGAAAATATACTTTAACAATTTTAACAGTTGTTCATCTAGTGCATTTCTAATTTTAGTTATATGCTTGCAATTATGCCCAAGCAATATTTGGGCCGTGTTAGATTAGCTTGGCTGGCTGTTTTGTAGTACTTTCTCAAATTGCAGTACAATTACAAGTATTGATTTATTATCCTTGTCCCAAGAATACTACAACAACCTGCATTCCCTTGGTCATATCAGAGCTGACTTATAATCTGAAATTTGGGAAACCTGGGTAAGAAGATGGAAAAGGGTCCTATAGATTGGTTTGATGATGTGCTTATGATTTTCAATCCGAAATGTTGAAGAAGAGAAAAATATCAACAGACAGCAGCATTTGTAAGCTGTAAATTTTCTATATTAATTCAATACAAGTAAAAAATCTACAGGCACAATTGACTGTATGTTTGTACAATTACTTTTTACCTCCAATGTTAGCCATCTTAGTCTCCATATAATGTACTATTATTGTACTGTTACTCAATGCATTGGGAGTGCCTGCTGTGGTTCAGTCTGCTGCTGAAATGAGGGCATCCACCCTCACGTTTTGCATTTAAAACTAGCAATGTAACTTTTGTTTTGGTTTCTTGATGCTTCCTTTGTTGAATGTGAATGGGGCTTTCTAAGATGCGCTGAATTTCTTGAAATTGTTTGAGCATTATTTGCTTTGAAGTTGCATCTTTGTTACTAGAGATCTATAGTTCATGGATACCAAATTTCTGAAAAGCTTGTAAGCTTCTTTTTTGGGGTTGAGTTGTTATGTAAGATTTTTTCACTAGAGTTGGTTGAGTGATATATTGGTATATCTTATGCAGGCTAGAGCTGGACAGATTATGAACAATCTTAATGGAAAATCTCACCAAAATGATACCATTTTAAAGCTCCAAAGATACACCGTATTACAAGAGGAACTGCGCACATGTTCACAGTTTCTATGCGAGGGGTGAATGCATAAGATGTCCGAATGTCCATATAGGCATGAATATATTTTGAAAATACATTATGATGTACATTAAGCATGAACGCTATTACAGGTTATGTCAAAACTTTAAGGGGTTTGTTTCTTTGACTGTAATAGAAAAGAGAAAGGTGATGTAGATACTTATTGAAGAAATGTATTTTAAAGTAAAAATACTCTGGAAAATAACTGACCACTATTATTTTTCATTGTTGAGGGGAATGACCGATTAGATCTTCCCATTGTTTGTCACCCATATATTTATCTTCTTGTTATATCCTCTCAGTCCATCAGTTTCGCCTGACTATCAATCTCAAGAAAGCAGCAACAGCTAACTAATCACCTTTGAGAGTAATATCAGGACTCATATCACCTAACACAAATTTGTTATACTGGTCACAAACTCCCAATCAACTCCATTTCCCCAACCTTATACAACTCTAGGACGAAAAAATATTGTTGGGATCTCTAACTACAAAAAATTTTAACTCAAAAAATAGTTCAAATCAAGCTGATCTATAAATATGAAAATCTTGAAAATGGACGGTCGAGATAATGTGTTTTTTTTTTTTCTTTTTTTTCACATCCAAATATCTTGAAATGATTGATCGAAAGATTTTCCAATGTCAAAATAGCATATTCTGATGGAGTTTTGAGTTGCACTTTTTTCTATAATTTAAGGTGGCAACCTTATATAGAATTTTTAGAAAAGCATAATATTACCAACCAATTGCCAGCTAAATTTTAAAAAGAGAGAATTTGAGGTGGCTAAGAGCCTTAGGAAGAGAGAGAGAGGGAGAGAGAGAGACGGGAAGGGATCTTCAAACGGGAAAAGAGGTCTTATTAGTGCCGTTGTACAAAAAATTTGGGGAAATTATTTTCCTTGCTTTACAGCCCCTAAGGAACTAATTGAAATTCCGATTGATGTATTAATCTCCTAAAAAAGGGTTCAGGGTGACTTTTTGGAGATGGCCAAAAAAAAGAAAGAACAAAAAAAAGAAAAGTGAAGAACAGGGACAAAGGTGAGACCTCTTTTCTTTTGTGGCATTTTATTTGCAAGTGAAATTTAATGTGGCATGAACTTCCAGACTTTCAACAAAGAATAATTTTAAGAAATTATAAAAAATATACCTTTTTTTAAGATGATTAGAAATAAATCCCAAAATTTTCAAAACCTCATCTATATCCTTTTTCTGCTTTTGTATTTTTTTACTAAAATAACTTTCATGGAAGTATTAGGTTTGTGAAGATCATGGTTACTCCAAAATCGTGATGGTCGTTGAGGGTTCAAATTTTGTTGGTATGGGGCTTAAGTCATCATGATTTTATTAGGACTACTATCGCGGTTCTTTAAATGTCGTGATGCTTGAAAACTTAAACCCAATACAACTTGGCTTAGAACCCATCACAGTTCTTTTTAAGTGTTGTGAGGCTTCAAAACTTAAACCAAATACAAATTGGCTTAGAACCTGCTGTGACCATCACACTTCTGGTTCGACCATGATGCCTTCACGAATCCAAGACTACCGTGAAGGGTATTCTCATCAAAAAACACAAATAGCGGTAAAACATGTATGAATAAATGAGGTTTTGAAAAATGTAAGATTTATTTCTAATAATCTAAAAAAAAAAGTATATCTTTTATAATTTCCCAATAATTTTCTAATTTTGTTTATAGATAATCATGTTTTATTTCTGATATTTAAAAGGGTTTCATATATTTTATTTTTTACAATCAAGTCTTAGTTTTTGAGAAAAATAAATTTAATTTTATCTCCTTTTCTATGCATTACATTAAGCTCAATTTTAGTATGTCTAAAGTTCTCACTATCATATACCTATAAAAATATTAAAAATAATTTGATATAATAAAATTAGCAAACTACTCCTAAATAATACGGGAAAGCTTTCTATGTTCTCCCTACAACATAGAAGTTCTATCCTCCCCCTACCATCCAGTCGTCCATTTTTTATCAAGAGAGCCACTCACTGTTTGATCTTAGATCAGACGTCTCAAAGTATTTTATTTTTAGTTTTTTTAATAAAATTTTTCTAAATATAAAATTTGGTACGTGCCATCTTCTCATTAGGGCGCACTTATAAAAAATATTAACAATAATTTTTTGATAAAAAATAATAACCAAAATACCTCTTGAAAATTTCAGGGGTATTTTGGT